TGGTTTCGTTATCAGACTTCGTTTTCACTGGTTCCCGACACATTTTCCAGATGACTGTGGTTTGATTATGGTCTGACTTGCCATGACCGAAATACTGCCAGACTGCCGAACTACAAAAACCCTTCTTTGAAACAATTTCCTCCGCCTCTCCTTGCTGCGACGTCTTCATTGCTCTGTGTTGTGGTTTGAGAGGGCGGCGCTTTGTGACGGCATGCCTGGGTCCGCGATTGTGATTGGTTGGGAGGAAGCAGTGACTAGCATAAACCTACATGCTAGGCTACAATGAGAAGGAAGGAAAACTGCGTTTCTTTTTTATCGAACTTTTATCGACCCTCTTTTTTTCTATTGCGCCACACGTCTATCGATCGATATATATCGTTATTGAATTATCGCCCAGCCCTAAGGAGAAGGTATCTGTTTAGGAGATTAACAGGGATGGTGCTGCAGTTGAAGACTGGGGGATGTTTTGGGATTATTTTAAACTCAACAGAAAACAGCATGGTTCCTTTATCGCGAAACTAAATCAGCGTTCTATAATAAAACGTCCTCGATGCTCAAATACATTTTAGAATCACTTATGGGGACCTTCTGTGATTTTTATTTTATTAACCATCAACCAGGAATGCCTACCAACTCCAAAACGTTAGATGTCCTTTAACACATAAATGAGGATAATATTAAATTTTCTGTTAGAGACACAGCTACTACGTTTGGGCATGCATTTCTTCTTTTGGGTAGCTTTTATCTATGTGGTGACATAAACTGAACCGGAGTCCAGTTTTGAGGACGAATGAGACCGAATGTGAACCCACACCAGGACTCTTAAACAGGTCAAGGACCAATTTGTCTGCTTTTTAATGCTCGCCTGTCCCGATTACAGAAAACCAAAGGAGAGGACGTGACACATTGGAGTAGAAGAAGAAAACAGCATTAAAAGTTCAAAGGAATGAGGAGGAGCAGGGGCACAGCTATGTTTGAATGCCACAGCAGAAACAAACGCCAACCGACAGACTTTGTTGACCTGACTAATGGTGTGAAGCAGCCTTTAAATGTAGCCAAATAAAAACATTTAAAAATTCAGGATTATTCTGGAAACTTTGGCTCTGTTCATCCTTTTACTACTGGTGATAATTCATGCTTTTATTTACATGGATTACGGTAAATAGTGTTCGCCTCTGGTTTCAATAAGGTGAGTTGAGTTGAGTTTAACTGTCAAAATTATTGTTGTATTAAATAAATCTTGAATTGAACATATCCAAATAAGCAAAAAGCAAGTCGCAGTATATTATAAAAGTGTAGAAAACTCCAGAAACAAACCAGCCAAGTTTTACATCTTAATCTGAAAAGAGAGCACCGCTTTGACTGAGCACTAGAGCTGCAGCTCAACGCAGAGTTCCTAGAAGTCAGTGACTCACGGGCCGTGGGGGCAAACTGAGGTTAAACCAGCGGTATCAGCCGCAGCCAACACTCTGCAGTTTGGAGGGAAAGTGAAGAAGCTCGGCCTAATATAATGATTGCATTCCTTCTCTGTGCAAAACTGCAAATCGTATCAACGGGGGGAGTGACTTAATTCATGTTAGTGTAGAAAATGAAATAAAGCAGAATACTCAGAATAAAAATATAGGTCAGCGCCTTAAGTCTAAAAGAAAGAAAAGCTGTAAAGCAAATAAAAAGAGAATTTTACTGAACCATATGCTGTAACTGCCAGTCTTTTTTTTAAAAGCTACTAAAGCATCCCCCCCCCACTTATCAATAACATTACACATTTTCCCTGAGTTCAGGCCAAGGAGAGACTGGATCAGAAGTTAAAGAGGCTTGGATGCAGCATCCATCGTCCCAAAGAGCTGAAAAAAGCGCTGCCGGGAGGACGTGTAGTGCGGGCAGGATAGTGTTCCTGGCCAGGAGCGCTGGCTTATTAGAGCAGCGTTCAGATATCCAATAAGCAGCAGCAGGAGCTCGGCACAATAACCTGTAGGTTGTTTCGCTCCTGAGCGGGAAGATCGTCCGATTCATTCAAAACGGGGTGACTCAGTCAACAGATGGTCGTTCCGGCTAAGAAACAGCATTCCTCTACTCCGACCTGCTTACTAATTTTACATGAGTATACAACTATAAGCCCTTTTCATTCATCGTCTTGAAAACACATTTCTCTAAATGTAGCTGCTGCCACCAATGCAAACACATGCAGACAGCGGTTACAGGTGGGCATTCAACTGGATAATCAGGGTTAACTTGATGTAGGCAAACATCCACCCAGCTCAAGTGTCCTGGAGTGACACAAGTGCATCTGACCCAGCTCCGTTAGGAACAAACACCTAAATCAAATAAGTGACAAAAGATGGAAAATAAATAATAGGCACTGCATGTTTTTAGGACCAGGAAGGACACTATCAGTGTCAGTTTATGCGAGACAAGTTTAGCCGACGTCCACACACCACGGTTCAAGATAAACTTCAAGGTGGCAGGTCTTCCCTCTTTGGGTAACATGGCTAAAACGTTTTCAGAAAATAAATTGGATTTACCTTTTGAAAACAGTTTATATGCAAAAAGAAGTTCAATAAAAACTAACTTTTGTGTTTTTTATGAGCTGTGGTGGCAGCATCATGAAGTGGGAACGCCATCTTAAGCCCCTGTAACACCTTGACGATTTAAGCAATGTATGCCCGAGGTACGAAAATCTTGCAAAAACACTGGCATAAGTTATGGGTACGTTTTATATAAGTTATGAGCTCGCTGAAGTACACTGGCACACATCGTCATACGGCAAGTATGTTGAGAAATTTTCAAGCATATGCTCATATGTGCATCATAACTTACAGGTAAGTTATCTGATTGGTGACAAACGTAAAGTCTAAGTCGTGGTGTCTAGCTTATTCAAAACCTATAAGTAACTTTTTCATAACTTATCAAGAACTTATCTCCTCCGGGCGCATTGCTGCCCCACTCAGGAAACTGGCTTGTGACATTTAATGGGCATTACGCAGCGGTGTGCTGTGCATAATTCAGGCTATCGCTGGACATAAGTTCTGGACTCTTTATGAATACTCTATATATACTCAGAGAATTGATAAAATACATTAGTTCAGCGTATGCCAGCATTTTAGAAGATCCTGGGATGTCAGGCATACGCTGGCTATGTCAAGGTGTGATAGTGGCTTTGGGGAAAGGAAGGAAGAGTAGAAGTCAGATAAATGACATGACGGTGTGACAACAAATTCATTTACATCCAACCCGTCTGAAATTGAACAGAGAATATGAAGCATGAGGCAGGATGGTTGGATACACCCAATGAGATTTCTTTTATACATCTTTAATAAGGAAACGTGTTAACATACATCTTTTTCCATCCAGCATATTTCACTCTACTTTGCGATAATCGAGAAGATTCCAACTAGGACTGCAACTAACGATTCTTTTGCAAATCTCTTAATCTGTTGATTGTTTTTCCAATTAATAATCGGATAGCAAAAGGTTCCTTAAAAAGCCTTTCTGTGAAATGTCTAAGAAGAATTTGCAATAGTGGAGTTTTGCATAGAGTATATTGACAGGCGGAAAAGTTTTCATCTTAAATGCAAAATGTATAGGTATAAATACTTTAAAGTCGTTGGAAAGCAGCTGTTCCAACAGTTGCATTTCTAAATTCTTCTGAGTAGTGTCATACTTTACACGAGTGAATAAAGTGAATTTGATTAGCCGATTATCAAGGGGGCAGGGTTGTTATAGCGGAAGGTTTGCAAGCAAGTTTTATTGTGGCCGGTTTGTGGGAAGCATCTTGCTAACCAGTTAGCAACTTAGTGCTAGTAGGTTCCCGATGGGAAATTACATTGGGACCAAGTAGCACTTAGCAACTACACTGTCAAGGAACGCTATGGACAGCATAAACATGCAAGAGGAGGAGAGTTTAGTGTCAGAGGTTGTGGATGAGTCTCCGCCATCATGCATTTTATTTAGAGGAGGAAAGCGGGACGAAGATGTTGTGGAAGAGAACGCCAGGAGCTTGGTTTGGTGTAGAAGGCTTACAGACGTACATGTTTGAGCCCTTTCCTCGCAACGCTGCCAGTTCTGTTAGCCTTCTCGCCTGCCGAAGACACAGACGTCCATCCCTGTGAACACTGAGACCCAACTCAACGGTAAAGTAAATCATTTTTATTTCTCATTTCAAAAGTTGCGTATCTTAGCTAGGACATATGAATCAAGATGCTATGACCGAAAAAATTTGACTGACAGATGACCGTTGATATATGATTGGCCAAATTTATGTGCACAAGCTGACGTATAACTTAACTGGCCTGCATGAAAAAACAAAAAAACTAAGATTTTAAGAGGATTTTAAAAAAATATATATATACAAATTTCTAACTTTTGGGACAATATAGTCTGATAAGACAAGACTATCAAAGACACAGATGAGGGGAAAAAAAACACAGCCAAAAATCTAATCATAGAGAACACAACCTTATAGACAATTGTATGATCTGATAGGAGACGAAACAAACTCCCAGACAGATTAAAACCATTTTACAGTAGCTAACTGCAGGAATACCATTTATTATCCAGAGGACACATCACAGCTAATAATCCAATTACTTCCAACAAGCTCCCACTTGTTGACAACAGGCAAATAAGAGAGCCCCTTCTTTCAAAACCAGTTGCTTTGTGGAATAATCATGAGTGGGCACACAGGTGCAATCTCTGCAGGGCAGGTGGTAGGGATGGGGACAATGTTTGCAACAGAGCCACAAATGCCAGCTGCTTTACTTCCATTATAAAAACAGCTGGCTATACCAGAGTCAGGGCATGCAAAGCTGCTCCAGATGACACCCAATAAGTAATTCCAAAGAAATTAAACTTAAGCCATGAACTGCAGCCTTTTGCGTTCATTCACAGCTGCTGCTCCTCTGAGTGAGGCTGCACTCTGCTTCTTTACATTTGTAAACACGCCGCACATGCTGCTACCTGAACCCGAGTGGAGGCAGAGCTGCTCGGCGGCTCTCACTTACCGCAGGTAGTACTGTCTTAAAGCGAAGGCTGCGTTGGAGCAACTCCTCGGGAAGTTAAACTCTTCTCCCAGTTCGGCCCACTGGTTTTTATCAGAAACCTGCGAATAAACAAGGACAAAGTTAGCTAATTAGACAACAAAAACAAACTTTCCACAAAAAAAAAAAGAAAAAAGTAGCGCATTCATTTAAAGAAACGTCGGTTTATCAATAACTTTCTCAAACTTATTTAGGGCGAAACGTACCAAAAAATAAAAGTTTAGAAATGTTTACTTGAAAGTAAAATTCTTCTTTAATTTAAATTATGTCAATTTAAGTAGAATTTGAACACTCGTGAATCCATTTGGGACGTGAACGTTACAGTTGAAGCTAGTTAGCCATGTTGCTAACAAGCTAACTTGACGTTCTTTTTTCCTCCCATTTAGAAAATTTCCGATACCGAACTGGCCAATAAGCTGGCTCCGTTCGGATACAAACGCTTCGGCACGCGCACAGCCGTTTGTTCCTCGGAGTAAAGTGTTGAGAGCGGTTTAGCGTATCAACCGACATAGGGGCCCTCTGACTGAGGCCTACCAGCCGGGGGGTGGGGGGGAAAGCCGAAGAAAGATGGCTATGGCGAGGAACAGAATGCAAGCTTCCCCCTCCTCCTCCTCCGGGTTAAAACTGTGTGTAAACGCCGGGAGCGACTCCCCGTGTCCCCCTCCTCCTCCCCCAGGCCGGGCTCCGTGCCGATAATCGATGGCGAACGTGCCCGCTAATTTCGAGTCGCTCCAACTAACGCTCTAGATTCCACGAGCGCTGGGACGCCTCGATTCAAAAACCACACAACAACACATCGCATTGAGATACATGGCAAAACTAGCACAAGGCCAACGTCGACCCCCCGTTAACGGCTTTCTGGAGGGGAGGAGGAGGGAAGGGTTCCACTTGTCCCGGGTTATCCGCGTGGAGTGGTCCAGAAACGGTCCGGTGTGGAGAAATAACACTTTAGCTTCCCACTCACCTTAGCGAATCCACCTAAAGAGACGACTCTGATATAGAGAGCGCTCAGATCCAGCTCTTTCCCACCCACGATAGGAATCTTCTTGAAAGGCGATCTGTTAAGATAAAACATGAAATCAATCAACAGACGTTTAAATAACACTTCTGCCCAACTTGCACGGCTGTGCTATTCCGATTTAAAGTTGTATTTGTTGTTAAAAGGCGCCTGAAATCTCACCCTCTGCTTTGGTGAAATTGCCGCAGCTCGTCCAGGAAAGCCTGTCCTTTCCTTCGCTGATCTAGATTTTTCCCCGTCGAATTTGCCATTGTTTTTGCACGCAAAAACGTTCGAACCCCGCTTCAGTCGCTTCCTAAGACACCAAGGATCCCATACTCCGCCGGCGCTCAGTCATCCGCCGAGCCGAGTGGTTTAAAAAGTTAAAGAAATAGATGGTAGCAAGGAGAGCGGCAGCTCGCTAATAAAGACTGATGCACACAGCGAGCAAAAAAAAAAAAAAAAACCCGATACAAGCTCGGAATAACTTCCCTCGAGCAGTCCCAAACACGGCCGATTTACCGGTAGATTAGAAGCGCCATGGCTGAAGGTGCTGAATTAGTGCTTTTGGTCGCGGCTGTGTTGGTTTGGAGTGGTTTGACAGTGCTACGGACGCAGCTCCGAGGCTATCGCACACACTGTAGAGCGCCAGAGGAGCCAGTTCTCAGACAAAAAGATGTGAAGGCCGCGGAGCCCGAGCTGCTACACAGCGCCACCCGTGGCGTACAGTGGAACTACACTCAGTGTCACAGCGGCTGCTGGAACAATAGAGACTGTTTTCTTTTTTAGGCACCGTCTGACAATTCCTCTCTTTGCCCTACTGGAAAAAGGGTCAGAAGGGTCCTGGAAATGTCTCTGGGGGGATGGGAATGATTATAACTAATTACCACTGACTGCATGTAGTATTTTACACGTAAAGTTACCTCCATGGTTTAAAATGTATTCTGACTCACAGTAGGATAGTATAAACATTTTTAATCCTCAGTCCAGTTGAACACTGTTTATCTTCAGTCAGGAACAGATATACTTCTTTCATCTTTTCTGTTTTTCTTTTCCTTTTCTACTTACACTCCAGTGTTCATATAATCTGTGAAACTCCCTACATAATGAAGCAATTTATATGCATAAATCAAGTGGAACACTATGGCGATAGCCGAACTGCTCCACTTGTGAATGTAAAATCTGTTGGCCTCTTACTGGCATCAATACAATTTTTCTTATTGCCACATTGCCAGACAGTACACTGTTAAAAAAAAAAAGGAACAGATAGTCTGGATGTGGGCCCCTGGGCTGGACAAGGTGTAAGTACAGTGGTGGTTCTAGATCAAATTTACCAGGGGGGGCAGGGTTTTTTCTTTTTTTTCCTTTTTTTGTTGTTTTTGTGTGTGTGAACATCAATTATAAGAATGAAAAAAAAGGTTAAGTCGCTTAGTTTAGTATTTGATCAAATTTGTGTTTATATTTGATTACATTATTTTATTTCAGACATAAAAGTATAAAATAAAGACAGTATATGTCCATATAACATATATCAATGGCGTAACGACACAACAATAGGCCCATAAGCAACATTATCTGGGTGGGCCCAATATGAAGTACAACACTCTGGATTACCCATAATTCAAAGTCGTAGTGTAAAAAATAAAATACTCAAATACATTGTTCTTTTAAGATCTTTATTGCGGTTTGAAACATATTATATGAGCGTATTTTTCACTAACCATCTTTGAACTATACACAGTTATTAACATAGTAATTAAAAGTACCACTGTCTGCTTTGCTATTGGTGTCGCGTTTAAACGGCTCACAATCCTGTTGAAATCTGCCATGTGTTGCGGTATAAATAAGGTCCGTTCAGACAGGATATCAGGTTGGTTTAAGAGGAATTTTTTGCACCATTACGTCTGCAATCATACATCCTAATCCACAATTGCAAAGGGGGCCAACCAGGTGCCAGTGATGGGGCCCCTTAGAGGTTGGGGGCCCATAAGCAACTGCAGTTTCTGCTTACCGATATTTACGCCATTGACATAAATTAAAACAGTCGGAAAAAGGGTGTATTTGCAGAAGCAAGAAGCTTATAATGCAAACCCTCCAAAGCCAATTTACATTGGACTAGAAATAAAAAGAAAAAAAAAGATGGCTACCGTTTATAATACATATGAACGTATGATTTAAGGAAAAATTATTATTCTACAAAAAAAACGCACCAAATATTTTACTGCTCTTTATTGCATTCACGTGTTTCATAATTTTTTTATCGTATTGTTCTTAAATATGTTTTTAAACCTTGTTAATGTTGTATAATCTTTTAGCTCCTGATCTAATTTGTTCCATACATCAACCCCAACAAAATAAATACAATGTTGTTTTCCATTTGTTCTTGCTTTTGGTTTTCTGAACATGCTATTCCCTCTGAAATCATAAGCACTGTCCGTGATCAAAAATTATATAAATTACATTTGTTTACATTTGATCACAGCTACTCTTTATGAAATTGAAATGTTCATTTCACTGCTAAGATGCTGCTCATTCACTACCTGAAAGCTATACTAATCGAAATTTAGTTTTATATACTTTTTATACTCTTGGTGTATACAAAATGACAATAAAAGTTGTCTAAGGTTGCAGACTCAAATGAAAACTGCAATCCTATCTTAGTACGGCTAAAGCTTATTGCTGACTGAAATATATAAATAACTCTGAAACTATATTTCAAAGATAAAATGTTAAATTGGTCCAAAGGACAAATCAGTTATAGTCTCTAATTTCGATGACAGAAATCATTTGATATTATACTGTAAACACTGATATAAAAACTAACCTAAACCTTTGTCTGAATGACTGCCCTTATCACTATATAGGGCATTAGTGATTACTGCATCTTAGATGAGTGTCCAAACATCTAGTGGATGAAAAAGTACTTGGCTCGATTTTTCCCACAATGCATCTTGAAAAGTAGTGATCATCCATGGTCACTAAATGACCAGATATACTTCAGAATACTTTGTGAGAGCTCTCCTTGCAAAGCATCATAGGATTTATTTTCACAGCTGCAATAAATAACAAAGATGGCACAGGAACCGTGCCAGGGGGCGGAGTCACGTGACCAACAGGGAGCGAAAAATAGTGTCTGTGAAATAATCTGTCCGAATTTTTAAGTTCACTATAAAGTCCACTATGTATGTAGTCCCCACTCTATGTAGTGATTGAGGGATTTAGGGGTTAGGGCAGATGTTCAGACACAGCCTTAGAGTTCAAATTTCATAAAATCCGTATATTAGGATCTATGATAAAACATTTTAATTGTTGTTTTTTTCTTATTATTTTAAATAATCTTATTCAATCTACACATTTGCCCTCTTATATCAAGGGGGAAATACTCTAACTTCAAGAAAAATTGGCCTGCTTATATCTAAATGTTTGCGCTGAATGTTTTCAGTACAGGGGCCAGCTCTGCTAGGGGACTGGCCCCTGTTGGCCCCGGTCTAAAACCACCCATTGGTAAATGGGCTTGCAAAAAAAAAAATCTTATTATAAAAGTTTATAATCTTTTGTTTATAAAAAACAGGAAAGCAAAGAATCTTGTTCAGGATTAATGAGCAGGTTTTAGGATTGAAAATTATAGACATTTAAATGTCAATAAATCAGAAGTTTCGTAGTTTATATACATTTAATTGTTCATTGATAGATTTTCATGGCATTAATACAGTGCTTATAAATAACTTATAACAGCATACACTCAATGTTCCCATATACTATTTAAAGGCTAATTCAGTGCTAAAGTAAGTATAATTCCCATTTTACCATCAATAAAGAGGTTTAAAAGTAGGTACATCTAGGGTGCAGGGCTAGAAGTATCATTTTTTTATGCAGTTCTATCATGATAATGATAAAAGTGAAGTTGAAAGGAGTGATCAATTAATAATAACAATAATTATTATTCCTCATAGTCTTTCTCAGGTCATTGTATAGCTATGATAAGATAATTGAACTGTATTGATCTCACATTGGAAAAATTTGCCTCTGCATTTAACCCATCCTTTAGGGGAGCAGTGGGCTGCCATCGCGGGGCGCCCCGGGCAGCAATGTCAAGATTCCAAGGTGTATGTCCTAACCACTAGGCCACCACATAAGCAATAATAGCTTTACAAATACTGCTGCTGGAAAACGATACACATTTCAAATAATACACCAGGTACATACAGAAGTGGGATTTATATCACAAAATATCCCACAGTGATCACCTTTAATAATGTTTCTGGAATTCGTGCTTCCTGTCTTGAGTTTTAAAGTTTTTACATTTTATTTTTTCTCATCATTCAGACGATAAATCGAAAATTTTCATTATGGGAAATTTATTACAATAACGATTAACAAAACCATACAGTACTAGGTTGTCACTCTGTCAATGTCCCATTGTGGGACAATGAAGGGATTTTCTATTATACTCTATTCTATCCTATCCTATTCTTAAAGTACACATCAAGAGCGTGAATTAAGAGTGGATGTAAAGCGAATATTGGAGATATTCTAAAGTTTTAATAACTAGCTCAGATCTTTATCCTCAAATTTTAAGGATAGCTAAAAAAGCTAAAAAAACAGACTTAAAACGCAGATAAAGTGCAGCGATTAAACTTTCGTCTGCAAGTATTTAATGCCTTTTGTATATATATATATATATATATATATATATATATATATACACTTTATTCCTTTTGTGTATATATACACAAAAGGAATGACATGAGGTTTACATATAGATATAATATATATATATATACATACATACATACATATAAGCCTCATATATATATATATAAACCTCATGTCGTCCCTTTTGTGTATATAAATATAGATATATATCTATATATATCTATATATATATATATATATATAGATATATATATATATATATATATATATATATATATATTACACAGGTGTGAATGGGTGCTTGCCTTTGTGCAATCTGTTGCTGCACACTTGGTCAGTGGTTGCTGTGGACTGCCTCTACCTCTTGCTGACCTACTCAGACCAACTTTATTCTACAGAGGGGGGACGAGGAGGGGGGACGGGGGGGTGGGACGGTTGAAATTGCTCCTGATCCCTTCTCGCTGTTGCTGCCAAAGCGGATATTTTCTTGATGGGGTTACATTCAACCATTACACGTACCCCTTTGCTCAATGAGAGAGAGAAAAAAAACCTGTCACAAAATGGCGGAGACGCACGTTAGCAGACCCCATTTTGAGGAATTGACACAAGACAGCGGTGAAAAAAGCGCGTGTCGGTTTTTTGTGTGCGGTTTGGAAAACGGTGCTGCTTTTTTCGCCTTTTAAGCGCCGCGCGCCGGAGTTCACCTCGCGCCTCTTTGTGCTCCCCCACTCTGCCATCCCATTTCTGGGCTAACGGATACGCTCACTCGCTGGCTAGCTAGCTAGCACTGTGAATGTTAGCTAAAAAACTAACCACCGCGGTGATATCCGTGTTAATCCAATTACTCGTTGGAACCTCACACCAAGGAGAAGGATATAATCTGTGCTTTTATTATCAACAAATAAAAGCAGACACCACCACTATAGGAAGAGCCCGCACTTGTTAGCTAATCGCATTTAAGCTAGCTCAGCTAGCGAGTTACATTCCAACCTCTTAACATCATGTTGTTACTCGAATATTTTAA